TACTAAATTTTGACCCTGAAATATTTGGTAATACCAATGTTCACTTTGTCTGGTTTTGTTGCAGCATGCCCCATATAATAAATAAATTTATTAAATTTATTGATCTTGAAATGTATTGATTTCAAAAATAATAAAAACAATAAATTTTTTAATATTAATATCAATATTAATGAAACAAATACCTTGCTGATGTTTTTTGAATAATATGATAAAAAACAAATACTCATTATAATGGGTTAAGAGTTACCAAAATTAATGTATACCAGTATTATATATTCTTTAACTATTGCTTTCTTATAAACTTTGGTTCTTGGCCAACACCTCCAGGAAAGTGATGGAAAATGATGGAAGAAAGTTGGTAATATAAAAAAATATGAAGAATATGGCTATAAAGTTGGTTTGACAATTTTGATAAAAAGTTTTTACGTCACATTAAGGTCAAATGTCCATTGAAAAGTATTTTAAAATTACCATTACACAATATAAAAAAAGATCGACATTTTAAGTCACATTCGTGATAATTACGAAATTCCACTATGTTGTGTTCATGTGAAAATTTGTTATAGGAAGAGCAAATTAAATATGAAACTTCAAAAAGGTGAGTTCGAATTCGTTATAAACAGATTTATTAATTATAAAAATTCGGTCGTGCGATTTTGGTTCGCTATATCCAGATTTCGGTATAGCCAGGTTCGATATAGCCAGAGTCAACCGTAGATAATATTCGATTTTGTGTCACTTTATTATTATTACTCTATCAATAATTAATGATAGTTCAATTTTTCTCTAATCCCTGATTATTTAAGGGTTATGAAACTTAAAAGACCATCACTAATTTCTAATAATGTAATATTATTACCATAAAGTCTGGAAAGATATCACCCCCAGAAAGATATCACCTTCTAAAAATAGAGTATAAAAAGGCAATAAGGATATGTTTTACAGGATAAACAAAAAAATATCCTACAGAAAATTATACACCTCGTCATATTAAATCATCATATACAATATTTCAAAAATGTTTGCAAAAGTTCATGGAGGAAATGAGACTAATATTTACGGTATAGTAATAAAAAAGTGCTGTAAAGGCTTAAACTCATCTCCAAAAACGGTGATAGATAGAAATACTCATCCCAATCTCCTTCGGACAAATTACACAATTATCAACATATACAAAAACGATTGGCGATCAAGGAGTGTGTCTACTTTCAAATGATTTATCAGAAATTCACAAATTTCTTATTTGTAATGGATGAATTAAATTCGAATTAGTCATATTCGAATATGCAGCAGGAAATCAAAAAAGAGACCAATTAACAACCCACAAAAAAGTTCACTATTGAAACCCATTGTTTTAATGAATTCTATAAATAAATTATTTTTAGTAATTTAAGGATTAGAGTTTCTTTTACACTGTCTTTAATGTAACAAATCGAGCAAATGACAATCGTTAATTGTTCGTATTAATATTAGTAATATATCGATAGTAATAGATAATTTTTTGGCAAATCATTGAGGGAAATGGTCCTTAAATGCCCAAGAAACTAAAATTTTATATAAAGCAATAGAAACTTTACAGCAGAAAGATCTAAACAAATACTTCCATCATGGTAATCTTTGGTAGTACTTTACGAGTTTTGCCCACTTTCTAAACGTCAAAAAAAGTCGTTTAAAAATTGCAAAAACAAAAATAATCAAGATTTGGTTTTGATAATAATTCATTAAACTTTTGATGTAAATAATGGTGATTCCATTTATTAAACAATGTATGACTCTGAAACAATCAGCTAATCTGAATTATCATCCGACCACAATTTAAATAATGAAACTTGGCATGATAGTGTGATTTCAGTCCGGTTTTACCTTCAATGCTATTTCAATCGAAGAATAATTATTATACATACAGATCACGTGATTTACAGTTTTGAAAGTGTCTTTTAAGAGAATTGTTGCATTTTTGAATGAATTACAGGATTTCAGGATCTGATAAAAAATTTGTCCGTGTGGCTTAACAGTAGAAGACCTTTAGACCGCTCGCACTATATATTATTCATTACATTTAATTAATTATATCTTGACCAATAATATATATCATCAGCCGTAAGAAGTAGCCACGAAGAAATATAATAATAAGAGCGATTTATACAGCAACAAATAACCAATTGACTTGCAAAATGATTAATCATATCACCAAGCCGTTTTTAAATCAATATTAATACAACGATAATGATGAAAGATCTACCAATGTCATGATGATGATTATTAATATCAACTACTATTGATTCATATGATCCTTCTTAATCAATTAATTAAAGGAATGTTAGTATATATTAAAGCAAATTCTATTTTTGAAATTTTTACAAAAATTTTTTGATTTTTATTTTTACACTATTTTAAAATAAGGTTATCGCCGATTTAATCATCAACATACAGATAAACAAAATCAGAAACTTCCGATCAAGGAATCGAACAATTGTTGGTATGTAAAGTATATAGAAAAGGAGTTACGGAATTCTTTGTACAACATTTTAAACACTCAATTTTTTATGGAAAACAGTCCACTGCCACAATAATTACCTATATATATATATATATATATATTATATGTATATATAATTTTGAAAAAAATTTTCGTTTTTTTTTATAATAATAAAAAAAAAAGAAAATCAATAATGGACCCAAGCTCAGATCTTTACAAGTCGTTAGAAGTAGTAGCCAGTGTTTTTGGATGGGTAAGCTTCAATAATCATATATATATTTATTATTACACAGTCCTAGTTATAATATAAATAATATATCAATTTTTTAGACATATTTCATAGCATGGGGACTTACTTTCTATCCTCAATTATTTCTCAATTGGAAACTTAAAAGGTGAGTTAGTTCTTAAAGAAAAAAATCTTATTACTAGAAAATTAATCGATATTAATTTTTTTTTTTTTAATAGTGTAAAAGGACTTTCTATCGACTTTATATGGTATAATTTTTATGGATTTTTGTGTTATTTTGTAAGTTTTTTTTCATTTAGAATTTTTTTAAAAATTTTATTCATTGCTAGCAAAAATATGTGCTTTCTTGGTTTTCAATAAATTGAATTCAGCAAAAGGTCCATTAGCAACTTCTTGAACTTTTACTGTACCAAGGTTAGATGCTTCAAAAAGAAAATGTTGATATTTCTGGATGCTTGGTAATAAATTCCCAAAATAGCTTTAATATCTAAATATTGAAAGCTTTTTTCACCTTCATAATACTGTGCTTTATTTAATCCAGCTGGACTAGACTTTTTTACCACCTCAACCACATGATCTAGACAATCTACTCTGGTTTT